TTAATAATGAACTATTATTTAGTCTAAAAAATCAATATATCATATTAAATAAAGCTTTATTAATAAAATATAAGTGTCAATAACTAGGCTCAATTTTATAGGTATGTCGCAGTTATTGACACTCACATTCTTACCTCTTACTCAGGAGGTTATTTGTTTGTTGACATCCATAAAATGTTTCAAAATTTGTATTTATTATGATTATTATGATTTGATATACTATTTTCTGTAATTACAGCGATAAATATTCATTTAATATTTTTGTGAATAAACTAAACATTATATTCACTGTTATAAATAATTCTTTCAAATACGAAAATGATTGTTGTAAAAGAAATTTCATCTTTGTTAGTGTTAAAATGATTATTACTATGATAATTTTTACTTTCAATTGAATTATAAATTTTATTGATGATACAAATACATATTTTTGTTTGTTATTTTCAGGAGTTAATTATTTGTGTTAAAAATAACAAAATCTTACTTATAATAAATATTTAATTTATCTTTATTGAATTCTTAATTACTTATAGTTTATTTAAACCTGATTTTGTATATTTCCGTTTGAGTATTCTTTTCAAATGATTTTTAAATTTTATTAACCTTCGATTGTAAATAATTTTTCTTACCTACTAAATTTTTCAAAAATGGCAACAAGACAATGAAGACGTATTAGAAAGAATAGGAGAACAGAGGACTCTATAGAAGTCAATAAAAAATAAATGCGATAGGTTGGTAGGGCACCTTCTCAAGCATGAAGGTCTAATCAGAGATATATTAGACAGAAACGGGAGTTAGGAGGAGTAAAGGTAGACCTAGATTCGATTACTGTTCGCAAATAGTTAAGGATGTGGGATATTCTAGTCTTAGGGAAATGCTGAGATAGGAAAGAATGGAGGTGCGTGTCCAACCAGTCTTAGGACTGACGACCTTATCATGATGATGGTCTAAATGTTGGTTTTTTTTTTGTTTTCGTGGAAGAGGGGAAATCTTCAAAAGACACCCAGCCATCCGTACGATTCGGTAGTGTCGGATTCCTGAGGAAGATGTCCTCGGACCTACCGACTAAAACCCCTCTACTTCAGGCCGGTATAGGATCAATTAAGGTCCTCTTCAGCCAATTGATGTTCAGAGTTTTATGTGATTGTGTTAAAAATGCGTTTGTGTGTGTGTGTGTGTGTCTAAGTGTGGGGTTATTTTAAGAAGTTGGGAAGGTTATCCATGTAATTCAGGTATTCGTCAAGGAGGTCGGGAATGGTTGCCAATAATTTGGCAGAAGGAAGGGGATTTTGTTTTTTGGTTTTTGTGTGATCCTTCGCGGTATGTGGGATAGGGTTAAATGTTGGCTGTTTTGTGCCTCTTTGAAGGCGTCTGCTATACTACAAACAATTACTTAGTACGTTTCGTTACTTTTGATGACCCATTTACGCAATATTAGGTAATCCTTGAAACGAAAGGATGTATTGTTGCGAATGCCACTCTTCAATTATGAACAAAAATTTGCGAAAGTATTGAGCTGTCTTACGTAAAATGACTATCATGATTGTGTGCAAAGTCCATTGTCTTATTATTATTAACGTGCAACCAGCTGATATTTTGACAAGCACGGAAGTAATCACACGACTACAGCCTACCACTTGTCACGGTTAATAATTCATTAATTAATATTTTTATTATATACCTTCGGCTGTTAAGTTGTTATTTGCACGGCGATCATTAAAATTGTCACATTTTTTTTATGTTTAGATTTCGTCTTACTCTTAATTTAACGTCTTTTTCGTTTCACTGCTTGATAACTTTATTAAATCAATATTTGTCGTGATGGATTTCGGGATTCGTCAGTTCATGGTCACATTATCATCATCATAAAGTCTTAATCTCGAAGACTGGATGTATTCATATCTTATGCATCTCTTCTCTCTACTATTCACTTCATCCCGTTTTGAGTTAATCTTCGCATTTTTCGAAAATTAGAGCAACCGACATCTCTAACAATTTGTGGACAGTAACTTTATCTAGGTCTATTTCTTTGCCTCATAACTTCTGTTTCTGATTCTAACTCGCCTTTCATGCTTGAGAAGGTGTCCTACCAACTTATCTCGTCTATTTCTTATTGACTTCTATAACGCCCATTGTTCTCTTACCATTTGTAACACTTCATTTCAAGTTTTTCTTTCTATTAAAACATTTCGAAATACACGTCTAGCAAAGTACCATTCTCAGTCAAAAAAGGCCCTAACGTTAGTAAGGCAGCTTGATGGTCGAATTGGGGAATTATGGGAAATTAAGGGTTACAGTTTTTTAATAGTTTACAGACTTCAACAAAATTATTATTTATTGACTAACAATAATTGTCTATTCAATACATTAGTGAATTAATTTTGAATTTACGTCACTATTTGAGGTTATCTGTAGCGGGTAAAGTGATATCAAAATAAATTTACTATTATAGTTTTTAATAGGTTATTATTTGTATAAGGAAAACCTGCGAAAACGTTACAATTCGACACAATTAGATACTGATCGGTCACATTTCGTTTGTGACCTTCATTGTTCCCGATTGTTTCGTTTATATTTCGACTGACAGTTTAGGGCAAAATGGCGTTCGTGTCGATATCCGACATTAAGAAAAGAAATCTGTTTTCTGTTAGTTTCGTAGAACAACAGGCCTATATAAAAAAATCCCGTAAATAAGTCATTTTTTGTATTGTATTTCGTTTTACTGTAAATGATTTATGGTATAGACTTAATAAGATTTATAAACCGCTCAGTTCCCAATGTGCACTTTTCGTAACCTTTTTCGAATTAACTATTAAGTGATTTCTTTTTGTTAGAATTAATTGTTGATGGGGATGTCAACTTCATGCCTCTGGTACGTACGCACAATTGTGTATTATAAAAAAAGAAGTGGTTAATGAAGTAATACCATTACAGTGTACCTTTTTTAAAATAACGCAATAGTGTCAAGTAATTTACGAAATAACGTCAATTTAAAACACTTCTTTTGACTTTTATTAAACCTATTGTAGTGTAGCAATAGTAGGCGAGGTACCTATAGCCGCTTGCACGTTTAACAAGTAAAAACTTACAAAGCTTGCTCTGGTTTAAATATTACTGTAGAAGAGTTATTGTCTTTATTGTACTAAATTTCAAGGTTGAATCACTGTTTTTGTTTTGATAGCGTGACAAATAAGGGGCGAAGAGAGTAGGTAACGATCATTCTTTTAATACATTTCCGTTAAACTGAAAAATCATTCACCACAGTTAAAATGACCTTGTCGATACCTAAACTTTTACAAGAAGTTTAAGGAAGCGAAAAAATCAGAAAATATTTTCTTTGTACTTTTCGATAGCAAATGCGAATTTGGCCCTAGGATTGAAAAGATATTCTAACCTCAAACTTATCATCACGATTATCCTAAGGTCTTCAACTCCAAGACTGGTTGGATACACACCTGCACTTCTTCCTATCTTTACCCAATCTTCAGATTTCTCGAACACTAAAGCAGCCTACAGCCTTACAGCCTTCTAATTTTGTCTGTTTCGCAACTTTCATATACAGAGCCTCCCTCACACATACATCATTAAGAATATCGCTTTCGAATTTCAAGATTAACCGATCTCGATCACAAAAGTGATTTCTTTATGTTTCTAGCGCCTTTTCCATGTAAAATCTCAAACCCAAACAAGTTAAATTAGCATTATTTGGATTTTGGGGTTAAGATATTTTTTGAGCTGAACCTTGATATTCCTCAGCCGATAGACATCTCCAAAATGGCTATACCCTTAGTTGTTTTGTCTTTTTACTAGCTATCTACTCTCTCTCTCAATAGTCAATAATTACATTTTTTGTGTTGAAATTAGAAAATTCTGATGTAAGATTGAGATGCAGTCTGTAGTGTCTGATCTTAGTCTTCTGGTCTATGTTAACTGATTTATACTAGTTTTTTTTTTTAATGATTCATTGTAAAATATATCCGATGAGGTTCTGTCATCGTTAAAGATGATGACAATAAATGATTTTGTTTCATAGTTTATTTAGAACACTCTAATAATTGTTTCGGCTGCTAAACCATTATCAAAGAGACAATTGTTAGAGTGTTCTAAATAAACTGTGAAACAAAACTATACCAAGTGTTTTATTTCTTATATCTTATTAAATATGTTTCACCAAGTGCCTAGCCAAGAATCAATTTCTTACATAATAAATGATTGTAACTTATTTTTCAACATCGTCATCATAGGGTCGTTAGTCCTAAGATTAGTTGGAGAAGCACGTCGTCTCTTTCCTCTTCGCATTTCCCTAAAAGGATTCTTAACTAGTTATGAACAGTAGGTAACTCTCTTTTCTGCTTTTAATAGTTATGTGTCTAACTAGCCCTTCATGCCTGAGAAAGTTTCCTACCAACCAATATTTCATATTGTTTTCCCAAGCGCCCTCTGTTCCCTACTCATTATTTCTAGGTGTATCTCTACCCCTCCTAATACACGTTTCTGTCTCTAATATGTCTCTGACTACACCTTCATGCCTGAGAAGGTGTCCTACCAACCTATCTCGTCTATTTTTTATTGACTTCCATAGAGTCCTCTGTTCTCCTATTCTTTCTAAATTCTCTTCATTTCTAAATTTCTAACTTTCTCTATCAACGGTATCCTCATTATTCGCCTGTTACACCACACAACGCTTCTAACTTTTCATTTTCCGCCGCGATTACCGGCGGGACTGTGTTTCAGGTAAACCTTCAATTGTTCGCGAGCATAGAAGTGACTTCTTTTTGTTAAAGACTACTCGACTTATTTTTAGGTTAGAAATATTTAGAAACCCTCTTGTATATTTTATGTAGCGCATTGCCACTTTTATTTTCGAAAAATAGAATCGGGGACAATGAACGCGATCAAGTAAGCCTTTAATGCTACCTTTATGATCATGTATAATAACGATGCGCTGTTTCCGTGGGGGAGCGTGATGACAAAGACCTAGCGGCATTCCGCGAAATTACCTGTTCATTGTACCACGGCATTGTTTAAGGTGATTTCCGAAAATACCGGAACTAGAAAGGCCTATGGAAGAGTGTCAACGCCAGTGACCTCATCAAAGAAAAATTATGAATTGTTACCTGGAGAACCGAATAAACTCAAATGAAGAAGAATCAATAGTTAACTTATTGGTACTTACACAAGAGCTTCAAGGGCAATTCTTATTGTTTATTATTTAACATTGATAAATAGGGATGAAGATGAATGTCCAAGCAATTAATATTAGTAATTGAAGCTGTATGTATAAGATGCACTATTTTTATTTTTAGATTAATGTGTCACCATAACTTGACCACTGTTGAGAGGCCCGATACCTGCCCGCACTTATACAATACTTTAAATTGGCTTGAACCTAGTGATAGATATTGGATATTCGGAATCCCTATTGATAAAAATAAAAATAAACAACTAACTATGAAATTCCTAAATAATGCGTAATTTTGCAATTTTTACAAGAAATACATAGTTGGAATGCGGAGTCACATGCGGGACTTAAGTTTTTCCTTTATTTTCTAATTGTTTGTGTTTGTGATTTCGTAGTTTGACCAAGCAAATATTTGCTGAGTATTCTTTATAATGTTCGAGGATTATTCGCATAATTTTCTGGAAAACAAGCATAACAGAAATGCGAGTAACGTATCAGGAAGAATTCTCATGCAATTTTCTCATAATCCGTTAAAACCAAAGAAAGGCACAATTTCTAAACGAGTTTCTTAGGGCACAAAAGGCCAGCGTTGTTACGTTTCTTTTGAACTTTGAAAACATCAGAATACCGTTACTATTGTTTCATCGTTATCTTTCTATTCTAATTAAACTTTCCTACAACTGGTTTGAGAATTAGCCCATTGCAATTTTTGCTACCATGTAATACTAAATACGTAGATAGGTTAACCGTTATCACTGACTATTTACTAAATAAAGAAGTGCATCGTACCTTAAGAATACCAGGTGTGTAAATTAAGTAATGAGACTGACAAAGTCGCATTCGATATGGCTACACTAGGACTTGGAGGGGCGACAAGCTGACTGTGTCAAACGCGTTCAGTACGATTTGTCATTTGGTTGTCTCTAGTCATTTTCTCCTGTGAAACCGGGTTTCATACTGCTTTCTAAAAATTAATGGCACTAATTTCAAGCAACGGTGTGCTCTTAGGTTTTGCTTAAAATTTGGGCACAATACAGTAGAAACTATTGTGAAACTTCAGCAGGTGTATCAAGACAGTGCTTTTTTTGTCAAGAGCACAGGTTTTTCCGATGATTTAAATCATTTTCGGAAGGAAGAGAGCCGATAGAGGGTGAACCACACATCTTCAGCTGCAAGAACACATAAAAATGTGGACAGAATCTGGGATCTTCCACCGAGCGGCATGGCCTAGAGGTCTAGACCACTGCTTAGCATTCGGGAGGACGCCGGTTCGATTCCGGGTCCGTCTGCCTTGGTCCAAGTTTTTCTGTGGTTTCCTTGGATCACCTAGGCAAATGCTGAGGCAGTAATATTCCACAGATAATCTTTCACTCTCTTCTGTCTTCATTTCGTCCGTCTCATCTTTCTCACCCGAACCACCACCCACCCATTCCCACGATTCCTGAAAGCAGGCTGAAGAGGGCCTTCCGCCCTACCTTCCGGCATAGCCCGGAGGGACTGCCCGCCCACCAGCATTACTGGCTGGTGGGAATGAAACACCCAAAAGTTTTTGGGATCTTCCATTAGTCAAATGTAACCAATGACGTGGAGACTGGATAGGTCTAATACAAAATGGTTCAATGAAACCTCGTAGAGGAACAAATGGACGTCAAGTAGGAAAGACGCCTTAACTTTTTAAAAACGATTGAAAATTATGAAAAGTTTTTGGAGAGAGAATTTTTTACCAGAACATGGAATGGTACACTCCAGCCTCCACAAAGTCCACATAAAAAAGAATTAGCAAGTCAAAGATCTACATCATGCTTCCTTTGACAGCCAGGGAATCGTCCACAAAGGGTTTGTGACTCAAGGCCAGATATGCAATCAGCATTTTTATCGTAAGAGTCTTCAAGGATGAGCCAGACATCAACTATAGGGTTGTTCGGAAAGTCATTTCGTTTTTTTTGTGAAAATGAAAGACAGTTTTCGTATAATAAACAAATACTTTATAAATTATATATTGACCGTTCTGGTCCAACACCTTTTGCCATCTTTCTGGTAGTAGCATAATTCCACGCTCATAAAATGTTTGGTCTTTGCTGGCAAAAAACTGATCGAGGAGGTTTTTGACCGGAACAAATAATAATCCGATGGTGCCAGGTCTGGAGAATATGGTGGGTGTAGCATTGTATCCCATTCAAGCAGAAAGCTTTTGGGGAGTGACCAAACTTGTGTGAGGTCTCGCGTTGTCTTGGTGAAACACTACACCTTTCCTGTTGATTAGTTCTGAACTATTCTGTTGAAGTGCATCATTCAGTTTGTCCAGCTGATGACAGTAAAAGCTCAAAAAAAACGATTCCTTTAAAATCCCACCAAACAGACAGCATCACTTTTTTTGGTGAATATCGGCTTTGGTAATGGTTTGAGCCGGTTCATCTTTTTTGCTCCATGACCTCTTGCGTTTGACGTTGTTGTATACAAGCCATTTTTCGTCCCCAGCGATGATGCGCTTCAAAAACGGATCATTTTCGTGACGTTTGAGAAGCGAATCGCAGACGTCAATGCGGCGACACAGATTTCTCTCTGTGAGAACATGGGGAACCCATACATCGAGCTTCGAGGATAATCCCAGGCCTTTCAAGTGGTCATAAACTGTTGAATTTGATAAATTTAACCTCAATCCGATCTCACGTGTTGTTATTCGCCGGTTCACATCAACTAATGCCTTTATCGCGTCTTTATCAGTTTCAACCGGCCTTCCCGAACGTGGTGCATCTTCGACATCAAAGCGAACCAATTCTGGCACTGGCGTACTGTCAACACACCTTCTCCATACACATCAGTCAATTTCTTTCTGGCTTGAACAGCAGTTTTACCCTTTCTGTAGTAAAACAGTAAGATATGTCGAAAATGCTGCTTATCGCTCTCCATATTTAAAAGGGCACCAACCAAAAACAACTTCGTAGAATTAATTGGAATTTTTCACACACAAGCCATATAGCAAATATGAGCTCTCAAAGCATATAAAAGTTATACGGCTTAAATGTGAAGTTGGGTGCAAAAGAACACAATTAAATCCTCTGTCGAGGAAAAACAAAATGACTTTCCGAACAACCCAATATAATTGGTTTGACATCCCAACTCCTCAGCTTCTTCTTCTTTTCTAGAAAATTAAAAATTCATTTCAAGGCACATCAGTTTGCTACACTTGTAAGCATTCAAACGGTTGTATGTGACTAACTATTGAAAGCTACTCCAGTGTCAATGTTCTAATACTTTTAAGGGAAACGAAAGAAACGTCTCTAACGCTGTGTGACTTCCCAAAAAAATTAATTTTCAGGGAGGAAATAGTGAGTTATAATTTTATTCAAATAAGAATATTTAAAAATATCAGTCTCGTTACCTAATTTAAACACACCTCGTACATACGATGAAGATAATCTATTAAGGCAATTAAGAACGTGGTGCTGTTATCGTTAGAGACTAATTAAACGTTCAGCTTAAATTATTCAGAAATACACTAGGTCTCTTCAAAAAGTATTACGAATTTTGAATTTTTGCGGGTTACGTAAATTCGATTTTGGATATTTTTGTGCCGTTATGTTGATACTCATGTCTCTCACTTATACCGACAAATTCGGCCATGGTGTATACGCAGTTAATTTTTGACAGGTGCTTTGCTTGCACGAGTTTTGGTTCGTCTTAGATTTTTGCCTACTCCAAAAAATGGATCAAAGAATATGTATCAAATTTTGTGTGAAAATCAAATTAAGTGCGCGGACGCATTCCGAATGCTGATTGTGACGTATGATGAAACTACCTTGGACCGAAGCAACGTTAAACGGTGGTATAAAATGTTCTCAGAGACTCCTGCCATTCGATTTTTCTTATGATTTGGGCATGAGACAGGTCGCCACGAAATTCGTACCAAAATTGCTCAATTTCGACCGAAAACAGGATCGCATTAAGGAGGTGTTGGACTCTATCCGTGACGACCCATGTTTACTCCATGGAAGTTGCCCCACGAGGCAAAACCCAAATAAGCCCGCCAAGTTAGGTCGAATGTGAAGGTTTTGCTAAAAAGCCACACCGATATTTTGTTTCGGATATCTGTTTTTAAGGTAAATTTTTAACGTAACATGTACAGTTACTTCTACAGTGAGGTTTGTGGTCAAGATGTATACATGTTAATGGAATGTAAACACATTACTCTGAACAACACAATAATAAATAAAACGAATAATTAAAATTAATGATTAACACAGCAGTTATAATGCTAAAATAATAAACAATACAAATTAGTCAAAAATCCCGTTGTAACAATACTTCATATTTCTTCTGTCATCTTCTCTTTATAACCCATCGAAATCGGTTCAATCGTTTCGTGATTATTCGTGCTGACAGTCAGATAAAAAATTCCTCAAGAAACGTTTTGTCTTATTAGTACACAAATAAGAAGTTAATAGAATATATTCTTAATTAATACGATACGGTACGTATTAATAGGCATTATTTAAGTGTTTTCTAATTCATCCAACATCTCTGGACGAGCTAATTAACATTTAATTAGTTCTGTCTGTATCTTCACCTATCGAATATTGCCTGGAATTAACTTGTTATCGTAATATTCACGGTTTAGCAAGTACTAAATGGTTGAATAAACAAAAGTAATTAATGATTCCATCATTTCATGATTAAAAACCTTCTATCAAAAGTGTTGGTACATACATACGTATCGATCTACATAGTTACCCACTATGCTACTGTTAAGTAGAAACCAATATACGAAAAAAACTGCAAAACATAGAAACCAATTAATTTTCTTTATTTATGCTAGCATTTATGCAATATGTAATGATG